TCTTATAAAATGGGTTAAAATCATGTATAGTAACCCTAGGTGCAAAATAGTAAATAATGGCTATTTCTCAGAAAGTTTTAAACTCTCAAGAGGAGTGAAACAAGGTTGTCCACTATCGGCATATCTATTTATTATTGCTATCGAGATGTTAGCTATTAAAATCAGATCCAACAGTAATATCAAGGGATTAGAAATCCAGGGCTTAAAAACAAACGTGTAATTGTATGCTGATGATTCATGTTTTCTTTTAAATCCACAACTTGAAGCCCTCCACAGCCTCATAGAGGATCTAGATACATTTTCTAACCTCTCTGGATTACAACCAAATTATGATAAATGTACTATATTATGTATTGGATCACTAAAAAATACAATTTTTACATTACCATGTAGTTTACCAATAAAATGGTCTGATGGTGATGTGGATATACTTGGAATACATATCCCACATGAAATAAATGATCTCACTCCAATACATTTTAATAGAAAGTTAGCAAAAATAGATAAGATCTTGCTACCATGGAAAGGGAAATACCTGTCAATTTGTGGAAAAATCACCCTGATTAACTCTTTAGTATTATCCCAGTTTACCTATTTGCTTATGGTCTTGACTATGCCAAGCGAACAGTTTTTTAAATTATATGAGAAAAAAATATTCTATTTTATTTGGAACGGGCCTATTTATATAATGAATATGAATTCGGAGGACAGAAATTATTAAATATGAAAGCATTAGACCTATCACTAAAAGCTTCAGTCATACAAAAGTTATACTTAAATCCGAACTGGTTCTCTAGTAAATTAGTAAAATTGTCTCACCCAATGTTCAAGAATGGCCTTTTTCCATTTATTCAGATTACAACCTCTCACTTTAAGTTATTTGAAAAGGAAATAATATCCCAAATATCACTATTTCTAAAACAAGCCATAGAAAGTTGGTTGCAATTTCAATTTAATCCTCCAGAAACGACAGAACAAATAATGCAACAAATATTTTGGTTAAACTCAACTATACTAATTGATAAAAAAACTTTTTTTTTTACAATAAAAACAAAAAAAAGTTATATTCTTCGTAAATGATATTATCGGTAGGACTGGTGGAGTTATGTCGCACATGCAGCTAACAAAAACATATGGAAATGTCTGCTCTACCCAATATTACAACCAAATAATTGCAGCATTACCGCAAAAATGGAAAAGGAAAGTGGAAGGGGGAAAAAGTAAGGAACTTGTCTGTTGGCCTTGCATTAAAGAATATAATTGGTTAAAGAAAATTGTGATCAATAAAAAAGTATACCAGATTCATTTAAGGACCAAAGGATTGACAGCCGTCCCATATAGATTGCAAAATAGTTGGGAAGAGATTTTTGACGTACCGATTCCATGGCATAGTGTTTATGAATTGATACGCAAAACGACGCCGGATTCAAAACTTAGAATTTTTCAATTTAAATTATTATATACAATTCTTGCTACCAATAGAATGTTATTTATATGGGGGATTCAATCTTCCCAGCTCTGCAGATTTTGCTGCGAAGAGACAGAATCATTAGATAATTTGTTTTGGTACTGTCCATTTGTAGCTTGTTTTTGGACACAGGTCCAGGAATGGCTAAAGGATTGCAATATTTACATGGAGCTAACCCTGCAGATAGCACTACTGGGTGATCTGAAAAGTCATAGTCAATTGATCAATAATATAATAATACATTTAGCAAAAAAAAAATATTTTCAATTCACGATCTGTGGAAACAGTGAGAATAGAAGGGTTCAGAACATTTGTAAAACATCACAGTACAGTTGAAAATATATGGCAAATAGAAATCCAATATGGATGGTGTTTAGAGATAGATGGGAGGTGTTGAATGGAGCTGAAGGATGGGACTAATAACAACAACTAATAACAACAAGATAACTAATGTAAAGCATACTGTGTTCATAATAAGTGTATAGGTTATAGGTTGAGAGCTTTCGTGAAAGAGCACAGTTAGAAAAATATGGCATATAGAAGCAAACCAGATGGACATCATGAAAATGATCGGAGGAAGTTCAGGAGTAAAAACAAACAAAATATAATTATTGTAGAATTTGACTGTGTCCATAAAATGTATATAGTATATATAGGCTGGAAGTAGAGGCCTAAGCGTTGTTGTTCACTAGTTTACTCCAATTGGGGAAGGGGTGGTGGGGTTGGAAATTAATGAAGGGAAATATAATTTTTTAAAGGATATGCGTGTGTGTGTATGTATGTATGTATATATATGTGTGTGTATGGATATATGTATGTATGTGTGTGTATGTATGTGTATGTGTATACCTTTTTAAAACATTTTGTCAAAAAAAAAAGGTTTTTTATCAATTAGTATATTTTAGTTTAACCACAATATTTGTTGCATTATTTGTTCTGTCGTTTCTGGAGGATTAAATTGAAATTGCAACCAACTTTCTATGGCTTGTTTTAGAAATAGTGATATTTGGGAGATTATTTCCTTTTCAAATAACTTAAAGTGAGAGGTTGTAATCTGAATAAAGGGAAAAAGGCCTTTCTTGAACATTGGGTGAGATAATCTTACTAATTTGCTAGAGAACCAGTTCGGATTTAAGTATAGCTTTTGGATGACTGAAGCCTTTAGTGATAGGTCTAATGCTTTCATATTTAATAATTTCTGTCCTCCGAATTCATATTTATTATATAAATAGGCCCGTTTAATTTTGTCTGGCTTGCCATTCCAAATAAAATTGAATATTTTTTTCTCATATAATTTAAAAAACTGTTCGCTAGGCGTAGGCAAGACCATAAGCAAATAGGTAAACTGGGATAATACTAAAGAGTTAATCAGGGTAATTTTTCCACAAATTGACAGGTATATACCTTTCCATGGTAGCAAGATCTTATAAAAATAAAGAATATGCCATTTAGCAGACGCTTTTATCCAAAGCGACTTACAGTCATGCGTGCATACATTTTGTTTTGTGTATGGGGTGGTACCAGGGATCGAACCCACTACCCTGGCGTTACAAGCACCGTGCTCTACCAGCTGAGCTACAGAGGACCTAATCTATTTTTGCTAACTTTCTATTAAAATGTATTGGAGTGAGATCATTTATTTCATTTGGGATATGTATTCCGAGTATATCCACATAACCATCAGACCATTTGTTTGGTAAACTACATGGTAATGTAAAAATTGTATTTTTTAGTGATCCAATACATAATATAGTACATTTATCATAATTTGGTTGTAATCCAGAGAGGTTAGAAAATGTATCTAGATCCTCTATGAGGCTGTGGAGGAATTCAAGTTGTGGATTTAAAAGAAAACATGAATCATCAGCGTACAATGACACGTTTGTTTTTAAGCCCTGGATTTATAATCCCTTGATATTATTGTTGGATCTGATTTTAATAGCTAACATCTCAATGGCAATAATAAATAGATATGCCGATAGTGGACAACCTTGTTTCACTCCTCTTAGGGAGAGGTTGTTGCTCCGGCACCACACTGCCAGGTCACTGACCTCCTCCCTGCAGGCTGACTCATCGTCGCCGGTGATCAGGCCTACCACCGTTGTGTCGTCAGCGAACTTGATAATGGTGTTGGAGTCGTGCATGGCCATACAGTCATGGGTGAACAGGGAGTACAGGAGGGGACTAAGCACACACCTCTGTGGGGCCTCTGTGTTAAGGGTCAGCGTGGTGGAGGTGTTGTTGCCTACTCTCACAACCTGGGGTCGGCCCGTCAGGAAGTCCAAGATCCAGTTGCAGAGGGAGGTGTTCAGACCCAGAGTCCTAAGCTTGGTGACGAGCTTGGAGGGGATAATGGTGTTGAACGCTTAGCTGTAGTCAATGAACAGCATTCCCACATAGGTATTCCTCTTATCTAGGTGGGTGAGGGCAGTATGGAGAGCAATTGAAATTGCGTCGTCTTTGGATCTGTTGGGGCGGTATGCAAGTTGGAATGGGTCTAGGGTGGCTGGGATGGTGGAGTTAATGTCTGCCATAACCAGCCTCTCAAAGCACTTGAGTGCTACAGGGCGGTAATCATTGAGGCATGAAGCCTTAGAGTTCTTAGGAACAGGAATGATTGTGGTCATCTTAAAACATGTGGGGATTACAGACTGGGACAAGGAGAGGTAAAAAATGACCGTGAATATGCCTGCCAGCTGTTCTGCGTATACTCTGAGAATGCGCCCTGGAATACCGTCGGGGCCCGCAGCCTCTCGGTCAGTGATGGCCCTCACACCCGGCTCGATGTTGTTGTCAATACTGTATGCAATGTCTGTGGGTGAATTATGAAACAATTACTGTAAGCAGATGTGCAACAAAATTGTAATTTAGATTTGTTTTTGCCGTTACTTGATCTATTTTAAATGTACTGTAAGAATATGTTGCAGATTACACTTTAATTGGTGCCTATGGAAACAAATAGAAATGTAATGAACAATGTTTTCAATATCCAACCTAATCCTCCGCAATACTTTTTATCAATGCTTAAATTAATTTCCCTTGCCAAATGCAAGTAGGGTATGGGCTTGTTATTTAATGAGGGGCAATTTTGGTAATTTCTTAGGCCGGGTGAAAAACATGTATTGTATGAGTGATTGCTCTTCTAAATCGCTCTGGATAAAATAATCTGCTAAATGACACATTTAAAATGTAAATTTAATAACAGGTGGTCATTACCAGGTTATGATGAGGTCTTAACTTTGACCAGCACAAAATATAGCACATAATATAGTGGTCACAATTATGACCAACTGGTCTTATTCTGGTCAGTAAAAATACGTTGTAAAAAAAAACGTTTTCAATTTTTCAACCAGTTTGTGACCAAAATAAGATGTCATAGAAAGACGTAATACTGACGTCTTTCTAACCAGGTTTTGCCCACTGGGCTGTGTTCGTGGTAGGTGACAGCAGCAGGACAGCAGACTGCAATCCTCCCTTTTCCCACCCGTTCTGTAGGTGGCGACAATACCCTATCTTTAAATTATCTGATGCGGTCCCGCAAATTGAAGAAGAAAATGCGAAACAATTCCGGTTCCGTGGACTTGAAGTGTTGACCTGACAAAATGCTCGCCCGGTTGTCACGGTTTAGGCCTGCCTTGACCCGTTTTCGCCCTAACCTGGCGTGCGGGACTCGGTTCGTATCTCAATCCTCGGGTGCTGCTGGTTCGGCCACAGTGTCGGATTTGCAGCCCTCGCATGCCAAAGAAGGCCATGGACAAGCAGAGGTCAGCGCGTTCGAAAAGGTGAGTTGGTCCTGAATCGAAACGGAAATACCATTCTCTAGTTCTCATCTGTTATTATTTACATTTTTCACATCCATTGTAGTTTTTGACATAACGATACACATTCCTTCAGTCAAACATAGTGGCTAGCTACATTACTATCTGCACTCAGGGATAGTACTAGCTAGAAACGTTAGCTAGCTACTGTAGCTAGCTAGGTAACACATTGTTTACAATGCAGTGTATCATGAAACCATAACAACAATCTCTCTCAAATCTCGACAGAATCGAGATTATCATGGGTTCTCTCAGGACCCTGTCGTTGACGAGTGGAACATGAGGATGGCCTTCTTCTTTGGCATCTCTATGGCTATTGTAGTTGGGGGTACCTTCATCCACTATTTGCCAGACCATGGGTATGTTTAAGCCACACTGCACATCCCTCTTTGTTACTTGCTCTGTCACTTGCTGGAGCAGGTGCACAAAGAGTTTGAAAAGCCCAGCTACAAAACATACAAAGCACATGCTCTTTCCATGATAGACTGACCAGGTGAATTCAAATGAAAGCTATGATCCCTTATTGATGTCACATGTTAAATCCACTTCAATCAGTGTAGATGAAGGGGAGGAGACAGGTTAAATAATGATTTTTAAGCCAACCAAACTACACTGATGAAGAATGTCTTGAAACATCTCTATCAAGCTTGTCAACCAGATACTACTTTAAGGCAACCAAACTATCGGAAACCAGTCTTTTTCAGTTAAAGGCAGCGACGTGAGGAGACTCATTTTGTCTTTTGTTTTTGGAAAACTATTTTGGGATAATGGTGCAAAAGGTTGTGTCATCATCCCCTTCATTTGACGAAGACGACTGATTCAATATTTTATTAATCAAATGTTTTTTTGTGTAAAAAAATTGTAATGTTTATATATCACATTACACATTTAGTAATGACAGAATGCATTTTAAACTTCACGCACAATAACACTTTTGTATGACTTAAAAAAAGTATTGTAGCGATAGGAGTGGGGGATAAAAAGGTGCTTGTACATTGATAATAGAGCTCTGCTACCCAACCCAGACGGGCCCGACATTATACATTGGGTTAGGGCCTGTTTTTTCATCAATTACTAGGGTACGGGTAGGGCTCGCGTATCACTAAATTGATCACTAACATTTTGAAGCTGAGCCATTTACTTGTGCTCTGCTATGCAGTACAGTCATATCTGACTAAGATCATAACATGGTGTCAGAAGTGCTTCAACCTCATCAAATATAAGACAGGAGAGACTATTTCACAGAAAATAAATGTTCCTTGATTTGGAAGGCGGACGAGCAATATACACCGTCGTAGTACGGATGAAGCCTGAGCTGGAATGTGAAGCTGGTTAGCTTTAGAAAACCCTGAGTAGAATGTAGCTTGCTTCGTAGGATACCCCTCTGGACTCCACAAATTCACTTATGTTGTCTCCATCTTTGAACCTCTAAACAAGCATCCAACAGACACACACACACACATCTTACGTGCTTGATTTAGTTGATCATCACAAACATAATAATTGATCATTAATCTTTTTGGCCTGTCTTTTTCTCACCAGTATGAGACAGTGGGCCAGGAGGGAAGCAGAAAGGTTGATCACACAGAGAGAGGCTGCAGGTCTTCCTCTTATGGAGGAGAACTACTATGACCCAAGCAAGATTGTGCTACCAGGAGCCGGAGAAGAGTAGGATGTACTATAAGGAGCTGCACATTGATCATTTGTTTTTTCTGACTGTACATTTCTCTTCAGTATAATGTTATAAAAAATATACTACTCTACTACACCATTGCTTGATCATTCTTTTGTAGCCAGTGGTCAAACGGAATAGCCCTTAGTAGCAACTGTGACTGTATCAGTGATCATGAAATGGTACAAGAGTGTCAAACTACTGGAGTCAATACTCTGTGAGCCCCTTGTAGTTGCCCCGAGCCATGCCATCACATCTCCAATGGATGATACCACAGCTGTGAAAGTGTGACATTGTTATCATGCACCACCCCCGCAAATAATATTAGAGTAGCAGACAATCTCCAGGAAGTCTATGGCATACATCGACAACAGAGGCTGCGTTTAGACGGGCAGCCCAATTCTGATATTTTTGTTCACTTTTGACCAATCAAATGAGCTCTGAAAAATATCTGATGTGATTGGTCAAAAGACCAATTAGTGGAAAAAATATCCAAATTGGGCTGCCTGTGTAAACGCAACTTTTGAGTGATGGCATGGATGCACAAGTGCACACAGTAGTAGTGCTGGTGATTGACAAACTTGAATGTGGCCTAATGACCATTCTGAAAGAAGATAAGGATTTAAGTACCTACCGGTAACACCTTATCACAATGCGTGCAGGAATAGGCTTCAGTTAAAGATGAACTGAAACGCTAAAACAAACCATGACATCTCATTATGAAACATAGTTCCGCCCCGATACCCAAATAGTGGCCCGGGTGCTAAATCCGGTCCCAAATAGTGGCCCGGGTGCTAAATCCGGTCCACAACATTTAATGTGGCTGGGTGAAATTTAATTTAGAGCAGGGCTGTTCAATTCCAGTCCTGGGGGGCCTTTATGTGGCATCATTTTGAGTGCGGACCCCATCACAACTTTTTGCTTATCTGAATTCATGGGTTTTGCGCACCAACCAAACTTCTGGGAGAGCACGATGGTCCCCTTTTGATCAGTCCTAGAGGGCCGAAACAACATTTCTGGTTTTGTTTCTACCTGGTAGTTAAATTGCACTCACCTGGTTTCCCAGGTCTGAATTACCATCATATTGAACCATATTATAGCCATTTCCCTTAATGATGCCATCTCTACAAATCATAAGCAAAGATTGTCTATTATATTTACAAGATATTCGAGTGGCAGCTCTAATGGAAATACATGTCCTCAAAGATGGAAGGCAGGCGGAGGAGGTGAGATCAGGAGGGCCAATTCTAGCTAATGAGAGGGCAGATGTGTGTGTGAACAACAGTCCATAGAGATACGTAGAGGACTCATCTTTGTATCTGTGCCATTATAAATTGAATTTTATTTGTCACATGCTTTGTAAACAACAGATGTAGACTAACAGTGAAATGCTTACTTACAGGTCCTTTTCCAACTATGTTAAAGATTTACAAAATTGAAATAGTGACACAGGGAATAAATACACAGTGAATAACAATAACAAGTAAAAATAACACGGCTATATACAGGGAGTACCAGTACCGAGTCGATGTGCAGGGGTACGAGGTAATTGAGGTAGCTACCGTGGGGAAAAAAAGTATTTAGTCAGCCACCAATTGTGCAAGTTCTCCCACTTAAAAATATGAGAGAGGCCTGTAATTTTCATCATAGGTACACGTCAACTATGACAGACAAAATGAGATTTAATTTTTAATGAATTTATTTGCAAATTATGGTGGAAAATAAGTGTTTGGTCAATAACAAACGTTTCTCAATACTTTGTTATATACCCTTTGTTGGCAATGACACAGGTCAAACTTTTTAAGTCTTCAAAAGGTTTTCACACACTGTTGCTGGTATTTTGGCCCATTCCTCCATGCAGATCTCCTCTAGAGCAGCGATGTTTTGGGGCTGTCGCTGGGCAACACAGACTTTCAACTCCCTCCAAAGATTTTCTATGGGGTTGAGATCTGGAGACTGGCTAGGCCACTCCAGGACCTTGAAATGCTTCTTACGAAGCCACTCCTTTGTTGCCCGGGCGGTGTGTTTGGGATCATTGTCATGCTGAAAGACCCAGCCACGTTTCATCTTCAATGCCCTTGCTGATGGAAGGAGGTTTTCACTCAAAATCTCACGATACATGGCCCCATTCATTCTTTCCTTTACACGGATCAGTCGTCCTGGTCCCTTTGCAGAAAAACAGCCCCAAAGCATGAGGTTTCCACCCCCATGCTTCACAGTAGGTATGGTGTTCTTTGGATGCAACTCAGCATTCTTTGTCCTCCAAAAACGACGAGTTGAGTTTTTATGATTTTGGATGATCCAGAAGAGGATTGGGAGAATGGCATATGGTCAGATGAAACCAAAATATAACTTTTTGGAGGACAAAGAATGCTGAGTAGGTAACAACACATCTGCCACACTGATCCTCAACACGGGGGCCCCTCAGGGGTGCGTGCTCAGTCCCCTCCTGTACTCTCTGTTCACCCATGACTGCATGGCCAGGCACGACTCCAACACCATCATTAAGTTTGCCGACGACACAACAGTGGTAGGCCTGATCACCGACAACGATGAGACAGCCTATAGGGAGGAGGTCAGAGATCTGGCCGTGTGGTGCCAGGACAACAACCTCTCCCTCAACGTGACCAAGACAAAGGAGATGATTGTGGACTACAGGAAAAAAAAGAGGACTGAGCACGCCCCCATTCTCATCGACGGGCTGTAGGTGGAACAGGTTGAGAGCTTCAAGTTCCTTGGTGTCCACATCACCAACGAACTATCATGGTCCAAACACACCAAGACGTCGTGAAGAGGGCACGACAAAGGCCTATTCCCCCTCAGAGACTAAAAGATTTGGCATGGGTCCTCAGATCCTCAAAAAATTCTACAGCTGCACCAGCGAGAGCATCCTGATGGTTGCATCACCGCCTGGTATGGCAACTGCTTGGCCTCTGACCGCAAGGCACTACAGAGGGTAGTGCGTACGGCCCATACATCACTGGGGCAAGCTCCCTGCCATCCAGGACCTCTATACCAGGCGGTGTCAGAGGAAGGCCCTCAAAATTGTCAAAGACTCCAGCCACCCCTAGTCATAGACTGTTCTCTCTGCTACCGCACGGCAAGCGGTACCGGAGTGCAAGTCTAGTCCAAACGACTTATCAACAGCTTCTACCCCCAAGCCATAAGACTCCTGAACAGCTAATCATGGCTACCCGGACTATTTGCACTGCCCCCCCACCCCATCCTTTTTACGCTGCTGCTACTCTGTTAAGTATTTATGCATAGTCACTTTAACTCTACCCACATGTACATATTACCTCAACACCTCAACTAGCCGGTTGCCCCCGCACATTGACTCTGCAACGGTACCCCCCTGTATATATAGCCTCCCTACTGTCACTTTATTTTACTGTATATATAGCCTCCCTACTGTCACTTTATTTTACTTCTGCTCTTTTTTTCTCAACACTTTTTTTGTTGTTGTTTATTCTTACTTTTTTTGTTTAAAATAAATGCACTGTTGGTTAAGGGCTGTAAGTAAGCATTTCACTGCAATGTCTGCACCTGTTGTATTCGGCGCATGTGACCAATAAAATGTGATTTGATTTGATTTGATTTGGATTTGGTATCACTCCTATCAAATCCCATTGAGAGCATACGTCATTGATAGAAAACCTTGAATTGCTGCATCTCGTTGTGTTGTTTGTTGTCCTCCGGTAGGTAGCTAGCTAGCCAGCTAGCTAAGATTGGCCCTTTCCTAAATTAGCCACGGATGGAGATAGGGATTTGGACTTGTGGTGTTACTTAATTATCTTTACTGGCCAATGATTATAACGGCGATTTTAATCCAACCATTAATTCATACATTGTTGTGCCCCTGACCTGAGGATGGAAGTTCAATGTTAACTAGCTAACGTTGGCCATGAATGGAAGTTAGGCTAGTGAACAAGCATTTTAGCCAGGTAGCCTAGGACAACAAAAAAAATAAGAGTGTACTGTATGACAGAGTGATAGACCGTTTCGTCAACATGAAAGAGAAGAGGATGGCATTGGCGTTTCTCTACATGCACGAACACACACACAACGCATTTGGCTTCCCCAGTGATTTTACCCACGCACCGCTCCTGCGTCTGTGACAGCATGGGCAGTGCAATTGAGGTTATCTCCATTTTAAAGTAATAAATTTTCTTCTTCATTGGCTGATTGTTCCCAACTCAGGAATACCCACCCATTTGACTACTTTAAAATGGTGGAAGTCCTCAATGTCCATGCTAAAATGGGTTTTATAAACTGGGTGGGTCGAGCCCTGAATGCTGATTGGGTAGCAGCTGTGGTATATCAGACCGTACACAACGGTTATGACAAAACATTTATTTTTACTGCTCTAATTACATTGGTTACCAGTTTATAATAGCAATAAGGCACCTCAGGGGTTTGTGGTATATGGCCAATAAACCACGGCTAAGGGCTGTATCCAGGCACTCCACATTGCATCATGCGTAAGAATAGGCCTTAGCAGTGGTATATTGGCCATATACCACACCCCCTCGGGCCTTATTACTTAAATATCCATGATGAGTCCTATATCTCTATGAAAACAGGAACAACTCCAATATAAACTTGTTTTTTTCAAAATTGCCGAAATGCCATGTGCGTCAATTTATATCAGTGCATTCGTAACAACCTAACCATTACGAAACGAATATTCGATCAAATAAGCCCCACGTAGAAAATTAGCAATTACATTTTTTGTTGACCAAATTCGACACTCATCCTCCATACAAAAATGTCTCACTTTGTGTGTTTCTTTTCGTGAACAGATTTTGGGCAGAGTAAAACATCTCACGTCGCCTCTTCCTCTCTGGCATAAGAAAGCAAGCAAGCATTAACATTTATATTACAATCCCTCAATGTTACAAGGCCAATTATTGATTTACTGCTATATACAATTTTGGGTTTGACCCACCCAACATTCTTGACTTAGTATTGCAGAAACTGCTTCTCCAATAGAAATCCCTGATCACACTTGCAGGCAATGTCATGGTGACATTGGCTAGCTAAGCTCATGCATAGAAACACATCATTGTGTCTAATGGTCGTCTCGCGCTGACCTACGCATGTGCAGGCCGTCAAATCA